TATATATAAAATCATGGATTCTTGAATACATGTGAAAAGAATACTTTGAAAGCATGTGTATATACTTGCACTTATAAGCATCAAGAGACTCTGGCTGCTGTGGTAATAGAATGAAGTGCAATAGCTCTTAAATAATATGCCAAAAAAAAAAATGTTAGTTATTGGCCTTTGTCCAAAACTCTTCCAAAAAATTCTTTCTTTGGTATTTCTATTGTGCAGTAGCTGATTTCCTTTTGACATTCTATGAAGGTTTTGAGTATTTAATGTTTTGGTAACTTCTCTATAGGCCAATGGGAATGAAGAAAAGGGTAGATGAGAGCGAGAACTTGACCCTGGAGGCCGTAAGGCATTCCTTAATTCGACAAGAAGACAGCATTATATTTAGCCTTCTGGAGAGAGCTCAATATTGTTATAATGCGGATACATATGACCCTGATGCCTTTTCGATGGATGGGTTCCATGGCTCTTTGGTGGAGTATATGCTCAGAGATACTGAAAAGCTTCATGCCCAGGTATGTTGTACTCGATAGTCTGGTTGGCAAATGTTAATAAAGGATAGAGATAAAGGAAAGAGGTACAGCAAAATCAGTGCTGGTTTTCTGACAAACTTTTAATTGAAAATTAGGTTGGTAGATACAAGAGCCCAGATGAGCATCCTTTCTTCCCAGATGAATTGCCTGATCCATTGTTGCCACCTTTGCAATATCCACAGGTAAAATAGTAAGATGCAATAGGAATTATATTGTTGCTTTGGCACAGCAGCCTTGGACTTATGTTTCACTGCTCCAAATGTCATCATTCTCATTGAGACACAAAATATTCTGTTAATTACTTGTTTTGTTGGAATTTTAAGCATTTGTCACTGCCATCACTCTAGTTGTAAGGGATGGGGTAGGTTGAAGGAGGTCTTAGATTCAAATCTAGCAGTATAAAATGATATATCTGGGTAAAACATAGTCCTTTGCTGGGAAATCAGTATTAAGTGCCCTTGTGAAGAACTTGGGAGTACTTTTCTCTGACACTCTTAATACTATTTTTTGGTGATGAGTGATGCTCTTCATGCCAATACAACATATAAATATAACTCATCAGTGAATGACAATTTAGTTTGATTCCAGTTTGTGTTATCATGAGAATATAACATTTAAATTGTTATGGGAAGGAATGCTATCTTCTGATTTATTATGATACTATATGGCAGTTTTTTCAAAGATTTTAATTCTCCACACATGATCTTTCCCTTGCTCTTTTCATAATATTTGTGAATTTGTGGACATTCAGTTTTTTTGTTGTGGGTGCTAAGTTGTAACTTCTTATTGGAGCCTTTTACTTATAAACAAACAGGTACTACATCCCATTGCTGATTCCATAAATATAAATAACCACGTCTGGGAAATGTACTTCAGAAATCTTATTCCAAGATTGGTAAAGAAAGGAGATGATGGAAATTGTGGATCTACTGCCGTTTGTGACACAATGTGTTTGCAGGTAAATGTTTTAACTAATGTCTTTCATTTGGACAGACATCACATTGGCCTGAATGGGTGGCCTGCTTGTTACGAACAAATTGAAACATATGTTGTCCTTTCTGACAATTATCATGTGCATTTCTAATTAGTTTCCACTCGCTTGCTCATGCACCCACAATATGTACCTTACATCCCCTGATCTAAAATATAATTGAATGTTGTAGTAAATATTGTGAATTCTGCTGCCTTCTTTCCCTTCTATGTACTTTTAATTTAGATTTATTACATGCATGATGTTGTTAAAAATTTAGCTAGCAAAATGGGCAACAGAAGTTGAGTATCCTTCCTGGACAGAGGTAGTTGATCCCGTGATAGTTGAATGTGGTTAAGACTTTCTAATGCTAATAACATATGGTTACCGGATGTCTAATAGATAGATGCAGGTGAGGTGCCTAAGCAAGAATTTGTCTGTACTATTGTCTAGAACCTTTTCTAGCACTCAATGTACTTTGTAGCATTGCTTCTTCATTGCTTTGGTTCGCTTGAATTGGACAGTAGACCACTATACTAGATATACCTGCCAAACTAGTCTTAATGATTCATTACAGGTTATATTGGGCACTAATTCATAGAGAGTTAGGTATCATGGTAGCATGATCTTTTTGAAAGTATAGGTCCCCTTACTTTGGGAAGTTACTCCTTTTGTATTTTCTAAGTGTGAACCAAAATTGCAGGAAATTGATGATGAGTTGGTGACAAATAGTGTCTTTTGAAGGACAGATAAATTTGAATATACTATCCTTTCTAGTACATGTAATTGCATTGTTGTTATGCTGTATGTCTATACTCCTTTCCACATATCGTTGCCAACCATTTATGCTACAATTTTGTGACTTTTCTTGGGTCTCACACAAAATCTTTTGGAAGGATTGCTGGTTTATAAAGTTTTCATGGCATGCAAGAATACTTCTTGTTCAGATCAGTTCTTTCATCTAACTGTGGTCGCACTCTTGACAACTTGGCGCACTGGGAATTACTGGGTGCTTAAACATTTGTGTCACTGCAGGCTCTTTCAAAGAGAATTCATTATGGGAAATTTGTGGCAGAGTGTAAATTTCAGGCATCTCCAGATGCCTATAGATCTGCCATTAAACGACAGGTATCATTGCTTGGCTTCATTCCAAGTACAGTTTGTTGAAGCATCTGTTGGTTTATGTTTCATTATTTGGCCTTGGATTTTGCAGGACAGGGAAATTTTGATGGACACGCTGACATATCCGGCAGTTGAGGAGGCAATCAAGAAAAGGGTAGAAATGAAAGCCAGAACTTATGGGCAAGTAGTGTCAGCTAATACAGAAGAAGATGGTGGCAATCCAGTTTATAAAATAAACCCAAGCTTGGTGGCCGACTTGTATGGCGACTGGATCATGCCATTGACAAAGGAAGTCCAAGTTGAATACCTGTTGAGAAGGTTGGATTGAATTAAGAGAGATTTCTTTAGCTATATCTGATGAAATAGAAATATTATGTAGGGGTGAAGTTATATGGAGAAAAAGTAATATCTGTCAAGTAGTATGAAAAATATAATGCCAAAAAACTGGTGAGGCAGTTGTAAGTTGGTTCCAAAAAAAAGCTCAGTAGAAACTTTTCTCAGGCCATTTGCACATAACTTGTTTCTCCATATGACTTTTATCTCTTTGTGTGAGTGGATATTGGATTGTTATTGCCAATATTTTTAAGACTACAAGATGCATAGACATATCGTAAAGGGTGTCATGGGCTTTTTTTCAGACTATTCCTATTATAAGATCATCATTCTCATGAGCAAACAATCCTAAATTATGCTGCAAAAATTGTTAAGCAGTGAGGGCTAGGCTCGACACTCACTGGCCACTCGGTCCAATTCTGGCAAACCATTCCAACTCGGATGCCTCTGCCTCCCTGTTGAAATTGCACCCTGCTTTGAGGCCTTATAAGAATTTGCCCTCAGGCACTGGCTCCAAATCTTGGGCTTAAGTTAGGTGTCGTTGACCCAGTTCAAAGCATTGTTAGATTCCTCCCTTCTTTTTAACTCTCGTTGTCAGGTTGATTTAGCTGACAGTATTGTCTACCTTATTTGGTTTCTTTTTTGTTTCTCTGTCAAGAAAAGAACTTGGGTATTTACACCTATTCCTCTAAATAAAAACACAGAAAAGAAAAGTACATAGTCACCCTATATTAATATAATATGCAAGAAAAATAAAGAGAAAATTGTGAGGAATAGAATAACTTTTTTTGATAAGGGTATTTTAAAAATAATTATTAAAATAAATTTAATTATTTTTAATCATATTTAGTTATGACTTGATAAAAACACCTTTGAAACTATTTTAAATAAATTAAACTATTCATTACAATTTTATCCTATTTGTGCTTCCGATTTCTTTCTCAACATCCTACTCTCTCTAATTTTATCGATTTCTCTCTTCGGCATTGGTCTATTATGCTCTCAATTTCTCTCTTGCGTTTTCAGATTTCTCTTTCTAGCACTTTGA